GGCCTTGCAGTCCCCTGTGCACCCCCCAAATGCTGACACCACCCTTGCTCTGTCAATGGGGAAACTGAGGCACAGAGCCCTGCATTGCCATCACCCACTGGCCATGGCCTTGGAGACCTTCTGCTCTCCTGGGGGGACTGCAGCACACAGGGGTGCCTTGAAGGGGATCCCCTCATCCACGGAGGGCCTGGGGACAAACTGGAGACCCCCAGCTGGAGACCCCGAGGTGCATCATCTCAGGGATGGTGCTGAACCCCTGGGTGCACCCCCCGTGCAGCGTGGCCTGGGCCATCCTGGGACAGGAGGGTGACAGCGGGCTGCGGGCTCCCCTCGGGCTGGGAAAGGCATCTGGGGGGACCACGGAAGGGTCCCTTTGGCTGCCACTTCCGCTTCATTCTAGGAGAAGATTTCGCAACATTTCCTCCCCGGGCAGTATAAAGGGGGCGGTGGAGGGAAGGGGTGCTGGGAGGTGGCACAGCTGCAGGCGCAGGTGAGGGATCCTCCAGCTGGAGAGACCCCTGCGTCTGGGGCTGCCCTGCATCCCACCACGCTTTGTACCGGAGCCCTTGGGGGTCACATCTGGATTTAAATCCGTACCTGTGTGCTTCCCAGTGAGAAACAACTTGGATCAGGAGAAGACTCCGCATTTGAGGGGACAGCGACAGCAGCAAGCAGTGAGTCCGTGGAGTGTGCCACTGGAGATTGTGGCTTTCCTTGGGCTTTGACAGCTCCCATCTGAGCCCCTTCACATGTGGAGCAGCCTGGGGGCTGGGGTGGGTTGCTGCAGTGCCCAAGAGGCTGCTTGGTAGAGGGAGGTGGTGGTGAGAGCTCCAAGGCTGTGCTGAGGGCTCATCTGGGGTGCAAACCCTCCATAGTCCCCAGGGACATCGGCCTTGGGTGCCGTGGGGAAAAAACCTGCTCCCATTTCCTTGCACAGTGATGAGCCAGGCGGATCCTTCCCCATGGCATGTCCCTCTTTCCTCCCCACTGGGGGACAGCCACCCCGCTGTCCCCCAGCCCTGCCAGGGTCAGGAGGGGAAATGGAGTGCTGCTTGTTCCCGTCATCTGGGCCAGCTGTGCAGTGTCTGTGTGTGCTGTACCCGGGGCATACCCGTTTCCAGAGGAACCACCAAAATTTTGGAGCAGGGAGGCAGAAAGCAGCAGCCAGAAATAGATGCAGGGGAAGCACTGGCATCAGGCTCTGCCCCGTGCCTGTGGGAGCCCCACTAGGGAGGACATTCCCCGTCAGCACCAGCAGCATCCCTGGTTGCAGTACTCCGGGATGCTGATGCCTCAGCATCCCAGCAGCAATCCCCTGGAGTCACCATCCCAGGATTTCCATCCCTGGATCACTGCAGATCCAGTGAGAGATAAGCAGAGCCAGGGACAGATTTTTCTGGGCAGTGGCACCAGCCCAGCTGCAGCAGGGAGTTCACATCAGGCAGAAGTGGAAAGTCAGTTCAGGGGTGGTTTGGGTTCAAACAGGGCCAGCTCGGAGCTGGGGACCCCAGCACTGGGGGGACTCAGCACCCCAAGCAGTCCTGGCATCTCCAAGCCCTGGAGGGGTTGGGGGGCTCAGAAATGAGACAGAGGGGTGAAACTGGAGTGAAACAAGAGTGCAGATCCATTCTGGGAGAAGACTGAAAGCCAGTGGTCCCTGGGGAGGCAGGATCAGAGCGAGCTCACCATCTCCTATGTGTGAGGGGACAGGAAAAGCGACTGCCACCTGTGATTTCCCCATTGAGGCCAAGCACGGGGGGACATGGCAGTGACCAGCTGAGCAACAGGAAAACCAGAGGTGCAATATTTCCAAAGCTGCCTGCAAAGTGTGACACGTCTTTCCGCCCGGGGCTTGAAACCAGTCCTGCAGGAGCAAGACCAGTAGGTGGAAGAAGGGCACAAAAACACCTCCAGACCTTCCTGAATGCTGCCCCAGGCACCATGAGCACAGCCTTGCTGCTGGCTGAGGTGGCAGGAGAGGCAGCTCTGTTCCAGGCATCACAGCAGCAATGCTTGAGGGGGTGGAGAGGCTGGAGGGATACAGGGGTACTTGAAGAACTTTGGAGGTGGTTGAGGGGCTCTGAGATGCCCAAAGAGCTTAGAGGCTTTTGAAGGACCCACAGTAAGCCCAGGGTTTCTGGAGGAGCCAGATGTCTCCTGGAGGGATGTGATGCTACATTGATGGGGAAGCCTCTCAAACTGAGAAGAGATGATCATTCTATGGGGGGAACCTCTTCTTCCACAGGAGTCAGGAAAGGGACAGAATTGGGGTGAGATGCGGGAGACTGAGGCATGCAGGGGGAGTTTTATGAGGGGGTATATGAGGAACAGTGTCTATCTGCAGTACTGACCATTACCTGGCACAGTGTGGATGCTGTGTCCTCCATCACAGTGGAGTGATGAAGGACAGCTGCCCACTGGCTGGGAGGGGACCTGAGGGACAACAGAAATGCCAGAGGACCCAGAGATGCTCTCACCCCTGGTCCACTACCCTGCCACCCCACGCTCATGCCATTTTGTGCTCCACAGGCAAAATGGAGTTCTTGTCCTACAGTGGGGATCTCTCCAACATCTTAGCCCTTTACAACTACAGCTATGACTACAGCACAGCCATGCCTGACACTGCTATCTCATCCTCTCCGTGCCGGCCTGAAAGCTCTGCCCTCAACAAGTACCTGGTGGTGGTGATCTACTGCCTGGTCTTCATCCTCAGTGTGGTGGGGAACGGGCTGGTGGTGTTGGTGGTGACCTCCATCCACACCAGCCGCTCCGTCACCGACGTCTACCTGCTCAACCTGGCTGTGGCAGACCTGCTCTTCGCCTTGACCCTGCCGCTCTGGGCAGCCTACCGAGCCCATGAGTGGGTCTTTGGCACTGTGATGTGCAAAGCCATCTCCGTGCTGCAGGAAGCCAACTTCTACAGCGGCATCCTTCTGCTGGCCTGCATTAGTGTGGACCGCTACCTGGCCATTGTCTACGCCACGCGGGCTGCCACTGAGAAGAGGCACTGGGTGAAGTTTGTCTGCTTGGGCATCTGGGTTTTCTCCACACTGCTCTCCCTGCCTGTGCTGCTCTTCCGCGAGGCTTTCCACTCGCCCAACAACGGCACCGTGTGCTACGAGCGCATCAGCGGCGAGGACACGGCCAAGTGGCGCGTGGTGCTGCGGGTCCTGCCGCAGACCTTCGGCTTCGTCCTGCCCCTCCTGGTGATGCTCTTCTGCTATGGCGTCACCATCCACACCCTCCTGCAGACCAAGAATGCCCAGAAGCAGCGGGCCATGAAGGTCATCTTCGCTGTGGTGCTGGTCTTCCTCATCTGCTGGCTGCCCTACAACATCACGCTGGTGAGCGACACCCTCATGAGGACGCGGGCCATTGCCGAGACCTGTGAGAGGAGGAACAGCATCGACACAGCCCTCTCTGTCACACAGGTCCTGGGCTTTGCCCACAGCTGCATCAACCCTATCATCTACGCCTTCATCGGCCAAAAGTTTCGCAACAGCTTCCTCAAGATCCTGGCGCAGCGTGGGCTGATCAGCAAGGATGCTGTTGCTCGCTACGGCCGCGCCTCCTATGCCTCCACCTCTGGCAATACCTCCACCACCCTCTGAGCTCTCCTAGGACCCAGCCCTTGTGGGTACCAGCAGATCCAAGCACCCCACACACCTCAGCATCCTCATCCAGCCCCCTGGAAAGTGGGTGGTGATGCCGTGGAGATGGGCAGGGCCACCATTGGATGCTGGACCCCAGCTGGAAGTGGGCTTGGATGGCAAGGTGGTGGAGTGGCTTGGATGGCCACTCCCCATTGCCAGGGGAGTGATGTCAAGTGTGCACCCTGCCCTCTCTTTGGGACAAAGCCTGTGACCCTGTGGACTCTGTGAGACTGCTGTGGGGATGGTGTATTTACCCGATGACCATCCAGCAATAAAGGAGTTGGTGGGTTTGTCACCCATGTCTGCCTCCTCTTTGCCACGGGAAGGAACATGGCAGGTCAGGGCCAGAGCACCTCTCTGGAGACAGTGCCAAAACAGTGCTGCCTGCTGAGCCTGTCAGAGTGTGGGTAACCCTTCTCCAGGACAGGGTTTGACATCCTGTACATCCCCACAGGGGACCCAAGCCCAGGTTTTGCTTCCTACAGCTCTCCAGACAGGTCCTGGCACTTCGATAATCTCTATGTGGAGTGTATCCCACCTGGGGACAAAGTCATTCCCTTTCCAACCCCAATCTCAACCCCAGCAGAGCAAATCCCTGAAAGATCTCTGAGTAGCCCCTCACACTGAGCCAGCCCTGTGACCCCTGCCTGAAGGGTACCAGCACCCCAGGCACCCCTGCTTCCCCCCAGCCATGGTGTCAGGAGATTGTTGTGCAAAGGGCTGGGAACCTGTGCCTTACACAACCGGGATGTTTCCGCCCTGGCTTGGGCAACTGGGGCTGACACTTGACTGGGGTCAAGGAGCTGAAGAGGGGACTGTGACCCCGCTGAGGAGTCTCTTTCCACTCTGTGTGCCAGGCCTCAGGATGTCTGCCCTACACCTACACATCTGCACATCTCTCTACTGGAGTCCCATACTGCTTCTGATTGACCTTGATCCAGGTTCTTAGGGCTCCACAACCATGGGGACATCAGCAGATGTCACCCATGCGCTGTGTCATGTGTGGGTATGGGGGTCCCCAGCACCCAGGTGGGAACCCTGGAGACCTGGGGCAGAGCAGAGTGAGTGGGGGAGGAGGACAGCCCATCACCTTTGCATCTGAAAACCCTCTTGCCCAAGTGGTTCCCTGCAGTGTGGTAGCAAGCCAGAGCTGTTGGCCAAGAGCTGTCTACTCTCCCCACCGTGGGATGGTGCAGGCAGTGGCTCACCCTGGCTGCAGCAAGGACACCCTTTTTGGGGATGGTTCCCCCCAAGAGAACTTGAACACCCCCACAGCAGCATTCCCCACCCTGTACCCACCCCCAGTGTCAATCTGGCAGTGACCGATGGATGACAAAGACACAGGGGTAGCAGAAATGAGTAGTTTTCCTCTTTATGGACCAGCCGCAAGAAAGACACATGTCAAACCCAAAATGCTGGGCAGCAGGACCTGCATGCAGGCCCTGGACACCCCGATAAGTCCAAGGGGAGGCAGCCAGGGCAGGAGGTGTCCCAGACATGGTGCCAGGGCTGCTGTGCCGCTCATGTGGCCTGCGGGTGCCTCTGCTGGTAGCAAATCAGGCAGCAGCGGCCGTGCTTGCCCATGTCCACGGAGCAGGAGTGGCACACCTTGCCCTGGCACAGCCTGCTGAGAGAGCAGGAGGTGAGAGCTGAGCCCGCACCGTACCAGAGCCAGCCCCCGTTCCCGTCCCAGCCCACCTGCAGCTGTACCGCCGGGAGAGGAGGCGGAAATCCTTGTGGCAGCGGGCACACAGCCCTGGGTCGCGGGGCACCGGGCCGGGCACCGGGCTGTCAATGCCCTCTGTCTTCTGCCACAGGGCATCCTTCTCCCTGCGGGAGGGGAGAGGTCAGCGCTGCCTTGGCCGGGGCTTTGGTGCCCTCCTCTGGGCAAAGGGGTGTGGGTCCCCTCGCCCTCGCCTGGAGTCCCCGGGGCTCTCACCGCAGCAGCTCCAGCAGCCGCCCCTTCATGTCGCGGATGAGCTCCTGCTGCCGTGCCTGCTCGGCGCCGCGCGTCGCCTCCCGCTCCAGGGCCTCCCTCTGCGCCCGCTGCAGCGCCGATGCCCAGCGCTCGCCGTCCTGCCGGGCCCTGCCGCGGGACAGCGCCCACACCGTCCCCCTGTCTGTCAGCTGCTCGTCTCTCCGTCCCTCCATGCATGCGGATAAACCTCCCGCCGCTGGTTCTTCCCTCCCTCGCTCCCTCCCTCCTTTCCTCCTTCCCTTCTTTTCTCTGCTGTTGCCCATCCATCCTTAAGCTCTCTCCCCATCCGTTTTCCTACTGCCACCCATCCTTTTTCCCACTCTTCATCCTCCTTCTCCACATCCATACCCCTGACGTTGTGCCCACCCACCCATCTACTCACCCCAAATTCATCCCTGTGTCTCTCCATCCACCGTCCCATCTCCATTCATTCACACTGAATTGATCCCTCCTTCCCTCCCTCTATCTACTAACGCCAAACCACTCCAACTCTCTGCCCACCCACCCTTCCACCCACCTATCAGCCCCAAAGTGACCCCTCCCTCCAGTCCTCCCCCGTTAAACCTTTCCCTCTCTCCCTCCCCCTGCCGATCCCCAGCTGCTGTTTGGCCGTGTCCAAGCAGGACATCATTGGGAAACCCTCTGACAGGTGGAGATAGGAGGTCCCACTCTGGGGTGGTGGGTGGTGGAAGAAGGGGTCCCTGCCCGACCTGCTGAGCTCCTCCTGCAGCCGTGCCATCTCCTGTCGCTGGGCCTGGAGCTGCTGCCGGCTCTGCCACGTCTCCTCCTGCGCTGCGGCAGCCAGGCTGGCCAAGCGCTGGGGGAGAGTGGGGGCTCAATCCTGGATCCCAAACCCCACCCCACCACGGGATCCCCTTGGGCTTGCCCATACCATGGCCATGCTGGTGACCGAGCTGGGCTCCCCTTCTGCCTGGGGGACTCGTGGGGGCTCCTGGGGAGCACGGGCGAGTTCCAGTGCCTGCCGCAGCACCTCCTCCACGGCAGCCACCTCATCCGAGGTACCAGCATCCTTCGGCACGTCCGTCCGTCCTGCCGCCACCAGCGCTTCCTGGCATTCCTGCAGGCGCGATGTCAGCGCCGCCGCCTCTGCCCGCGCCCTGGCCAGCTGGGTGCCCCGCTCCTCTGCCACTTCTTGCCAGCTCCGTGCCTCCTCCTGTGCCCGTGCCAGTGCCCCCGGGTCCCCCGCTGCCACCGCTGCCTCCAGTGCCCGCTGCAGGAAGGCGTTGGTTTCCCGCAGAGCCTCCTCCTGGCGTGCCCAGAGCTGTGCCTGCCGGGCGCTGCCCTCCTCCTGCCGCCGCTGCCGCCGGTCTGCCCGCGCCAGCCGCGCCGCCAGCGCCCGGGCCGCCGCCTCCCGCTGCCCCAGCTCGGCCCGCAACTGCGACACCAGCGCCTGCAGGGACTCCTCTGTGCCACCCGGCTGCCTGGGCACCAGTGACAGGGACCCCAGCATGCACCTTGTGCCACTGGACAGTGGGGACATGCCAGCTGCTTTGCCAGCGCCATGTGCATCCTGCAGTTCCTCTACATCCACATCCTTCATCTCCTTCTCATCCTCCTCCAACTCTTCATGCTTCTCTTCCAAATCCTCCTCCAAGTCCACTTCCACATCCTCCACCTTCACCTTGTTTGTATCCTTACTGTCATCCTCCTCCACTTCCTCTTCATCCTCTTCTTCCATGTCCTTCTTCACCTCCCCATCCTCTGCATCTTCCTCTATATCTTCCACTTGCACACTCCCTGCCTGCAGGGCAGCCCAAGTGGGTGGGCAGGGATGGGCTTGTGGCCCATGGAGTGCCACAGTGGGATGGCCAGTGCCATCAGACCATCCATGTGCCACAGTGCTGATCCTGTCTGTCTGCAGGGCTGTCTTTGCTGGGCTGCTCCTCATCACCGGGCTGGGCCGTACCAGTGGCCTAGAGGGGACACAGGGCTCAGGACTACTTGGTCACCACCAAGGTGAACAGGACATCACCACCCTCCATTTAGGCTCACTGGGCACAGCAGCCTTTAGGAATTTGGGGGGCAGCAGGGCAAGGGATCAGTGATGTTGGTGCCATCAGCCTGAGCACCCACAGAACACATGGCACTCATTGACCCAAGCATGTATGCTTGTGACAGTCTGTGTACACGGGTGTGTGGGCATCAGAACAGGTGTGAGTGTGCTGGAACAGCTGCATCCATGATGCCCCCAGAAGTGTGCCCAGGGCAAGGGTGTGCCAGCACATACGTGTGTTCCTGTGTGTCAGATGTCACAGTGTCATGGTGTTGCAGCAGGGACATACTCAAGCACAGGATGGCTCTCTGTGTGTACACATGCATATGGCATGTTTGCAGGCACAGGCAGGGTGTGCATGCTGGTGCCAGAGACTGTGCCCTCCATTGAGAGCTGGCACATCTGGAGTGCTGTGTGGGGTCTAGGGCAGTGGGGCAATGCACACGTGCTTCTCTGCAATGCTAAGTCCCAGGTGCCTCTGATGCCCTTGACATCCCCAGTGCTGCCAATGTCCCTGGTGCCCCCATTGTCCCCAAGCTCACTCAGAGAACATGGGCCAGGCGGTGTCCAGGTCACTTCTGTACAGAGCCAGGTGGAAGGTGACACAGTCCAGCTCATAGAGGCTGCCCAGGATCTCTGCTCGCTGTTTGGGGCTCAGGAAGGGGCTACGGGCGTAGTACCACTCGCTGCAACCACAAAACATGCATACCTCTGTGCCCTGGACAGGCACACGTGCCTGCAGCACCTCTGCTGACTGGGTGCTGCAGGGCACTGCCCACCCTGGCCATGTCCCCCACCTCCAGGAGCATGCCCTCAGTGTGCTCCTGCTCTCACCAGAGGCTCTCAGGGTCCAGGAGGCAGAGCTGCAGGGACTCTGCCAGCTGCCGGTGCACCAGGCAGTACCGCAGAAAGGCTCGGCCCCTGCCCACAGGGGTCTTCAGCTGTGGGGGAGAGGTGGTTATCCATCCATCCATCCATCCATCCATCCATCCATCCATCCATCCATCCATCCATCCATCCATCCATCCCTGTCACTCCAGTCTGCCCCTCCACACACCTCCCTCCCAGCCCATGCAAGGAACGAGAGTCCCCAGGGCTCGGCCTGGAGTACAGTGGGGATCCCAGAGGGGACAAAACCATTTATAGCACCAGTGGGTGAATGCTTGGTGCCCAAGTGAGTGTGTGCCTGTGCAGAGGTGTGTGTGCACCCACAAGCAAGCAGAAGTTCATGTGTGTGCACAAGACCCTGGGATCCCACCAGCCCGTGCCCACCTTGTCCAGGGAGGTGACAAAGTGAATGCCTTCATGCTCCTGCCGGCACCGTGCCAGGCCCTGGCACAAGAAGTCCCAATAGTCCTTGCGCTGCCCAAAGAAGCTCCTCTTCTCCTTGAGGTCAAACTGGCAGAGGTACAAGCTTGAACTTTCATTTTTGGGAGTATCCTCTGCTCCCCCCAGCCTGTCCCCTGTGGGGCTGGAATCCAGCCAGCACCCCCAGCAGGATTGGTCTGGGTGTTCCTCTCTTCACTCCATACCTCAGTTTCCCTTTTTTAGCACATGTAATTACACATGTGGCCTAGGGAGAACCTGGTCCAGGTGGCTGGGGATGCCCAGGGCCAGACAATGCTGGGTGGGGTTACTCCATCCCCTGCATGGTTAACACAGGATCCCTTCTGCTGTCAGCTGTGCCTAAGGGGAAAGGAGGCAGGGGCAGCAGAGATGGAGGAGCAGCAGTACCTGGAGGAGGAACTCTAGCTGGGCACAGAGGCTGTGCAGCTCCCGGCTCCCGTCTGTCACCGGCATGTTCTGCTCCTGGTAGCTGCATTTCAGCTCGGCCACAGTCTCTGCGGGATGGCAGGGCTGGGCTGGCATGGCACCCTCTCCCATCCTACCCCTCTTCCCTCAACTGCCTCACAACAACCATCCTCGGGGATTCCTCATGGTGGATGAAATCATAGAATTCTAGAATCTAAGTTGGAAAAGACCTCTAAGATCAAGTTCAGTAATTAACCCAGTACTTCCAAATCCACCGTTAAACCATGCAGCCAAATGACACATCCAGGCGTCTTTTAAATGCCTCCATGGGTGGTGACTCCACTACTTCCCTGGGTAGCCTGTTCCAATGCTTGATAAACATTTCCATGAAAATTTTTTTCCTAATATTCACTGTAAACCTCTCCTGGCACAACTTGAGGCAATTTCCTCTTGTCTTAACCCTTGTAACTGGGGGGAAGAGACTGACTCCCTCCTGGCTACAACCCTGCCCATATTCCCCCATTCATTTCAGATAGTTGTAGGGAGTGATAAGATCCCCCACAGAGCCTCCTTTTCTTCAGAGAGAAAGAGGAACTCGGGATGAAGGAGGGGTGCAGGGGGAGCAAGGAGCACGGCCACCTCCTGGGCACTGCTGGTTCCCAGGGGCTGGCAGTGAGGATGGGAGCAGGCAGCCGTGGCAGGGTTGGCACAAGGATTCTCTGGAGCACCCCTGGCAGTGACACCCCCCACTGCCCATGACTTGGGTGCAAAAAGGGATCTGGCACGGCCAGGGTGAGATGTGCCATGCAGGGAACATGCTGGCAGGGGGCTGGTTGGCACACTTACTCTGCAGGTCCTTGATGACACGGTTGAGCTCCCCTTCCCCTGCCATGGCTGCTCACTGGGATCTGCAGAGGCAGGGGCAGTGATGAGAGGTTCCAGGCTGGCACTCCCCTGGCACCCCCAAACTCTGTCCCAGAGAGAGTGTCTGCCCCCACAGCTCCACCCCACAGGGGTTTTAGGCAGGCTTATGCACCCCTTACCCTGCCCATGTTCCCCCACTACATAGGGCAGAGCAGATGGGGTGGATAAAGGTGTCCCATCCTGCACCCTCTCAGCTCTCCACGTGCCCTGCCCCTGTATGTCCTCAGCCTCTGCTCCCATTCCTTGGGGAGTTCCAGGGGCTGAGCCCACCACATCCCTTTTTTGTCCCTGTCCTTATCCCTGTCCCTGTTTGCCAGGATTCAGGATGTGGGTTTGGTGCAGGGGAAGTGCTGCTTTTGCTTCTGCTCTCGCTTCCCTCACTCTCATCACGAACAATGTGGGAGCTTCTGGGTAGTCGAGCACAGGGCACACCAGCCCTGATATGCAGCCCCCTAAGCTCAGCTCCCTAGGCAGAGCTCTCTGGCACAGCATGTTGACTGGACGGCTGGCATGGGATTTGGGTGAGCTGTGGGCATGAGGTGAGGGGCCTCAGGGCACAGTGCAGTGATTTTTGGGTGGGTGGCAGCTTGGTGACAGCGTGAGGGAAGTAGCCCATGGAGGTGGCAGGTCTGTGACTTGTCATTGTGGCTGGTGTGGGGCAGCACTTTGGGGCACGGGGTGTGTGTCCCAGCAGGGTGCACATGCACTCACAGGAGTGTGTGCACCGGTGTGCCCAAGCATGTGAGTGCCCTGTGCCATCTACCATGGCACAGTGAGGGAGCAGGACACAGGTCTGAGGCTGCCCATGCTCCCATTCCAGTGCCCTTGAGAGACCTCGGATGAGCTATCTTTGCATCTGCCCACCCCACCTGTAGCTCAGTTTTCCCTGGGAAGAGAAGCCCTTACCTGTGTCCAGGAGCTGTGGGCTGCCCCGGGGCGGTTGCTGAGTGCTGCGGGTGAGCTGGCATGTCCCTGTGCCCACGCTGTGCCTGCCTGCTTCTCCTTTTGTACCTTGGGCAGGAGGAAGTGTGGGAGGTCTGAGGGGCTGCAGAAGCCACAGCCCGCCCGGCCCACATCACATCAGACACTGCAGCTTAGCCCCCAGCACCTGCCAGCTCCCTGTTTTGGGGGTTGCCAGCTCTGGGGAAAGGGTCAGCAAAGCAGATCCCCCTATGCAGCTTTTGGGGCAGAGGAAGGACAGTGTCAAACATGGGGGGACCATGATGGTCTCCAATAAGGATGGAAATTCGGAATGCTCTGAAGAACCTGCCCACTGTTTTTGTGGAGGGGGTCCAGGACCCATACTCTGCTAGAAGCAGCCAGCAGCAGACCCTGGCACAGAGGCCACCCCCATGCACAACAGCCCCTGGGCACAGAGACCCCTGCAGGAGCTGCAGCTCCTCCTAGCAAGGACCACAACCCTCCCCAATCATCTGCCCTCCACATGGGGGCTATACCCAGAGCCAGTGTGTAAGCTCTTTCCAGAGCATCCTGGACAAGGCTCCCTCTTGCTGGGGAGACCCCAGCCCAGCAGTGCACCTCATTCACTGTGCCTGGACCCTTGTACTGTGTCAGCCCTGTCCTGTGGGCTCCTTCTCGACTGGGGGCTGAAAACCCCTGTGAAGGGGATCGACTGGGGGCTGAAAACCCCTGTGAAGGGGATGTCAAAGGTGATACCAGCCTCTCCCACCAGTCTAGGCAGGGGCACCCACTGCCATCCTGTTCCCCACCACCATCTTGGTGGATGGCCACAGCGATGCCCATGTCCTATCCTCTGCCATGCCCCTCCTTGTAGAGCAGGTTGTCCTTACCTGTGTCACCTGGATGTCCTTGGGGACGCCCTTGTCCCCCCGGCCAGGCCTCGCTCGACACCAAAGTGAAAGTAGGAAGTGATGCTGAGTGGGAGCCTGGGCCTCCCAGCACCCTCCTGGCTCCCGGGGGGTGTTGGCCTGTAGGTGCAGCTGGGGAGCAGAGGGGAGCCACTGGCAGTACTCGGGGTGACCCCAGCCTCCTCAGCACCCCATTGCCCCGTGCCACCCTGCAGTGTGTGCTCCTGTGGGCATGGGGACAGCACCCCATATTGGATAGAGGTAGGGCAGGGTGTTGGGTGGCAGTGGAGCAGCAGCATCACCGTGTGTGCATGCGTGTGCAGGCGTGCATGTGACTGCACGTGTGTGCAGGCTGTGTGAGCACGGCTATGTGGCTGCGTGCGTGGGTGCAAGCTGTACACGTGTGGCTGGCAGGGGTAGAGGCTGAGAGGGCACCGTGTGTGCCCCTCATTGCACCACCCACGTGCCCCGTGCCAGGCACTGCAA